TGTTAAAAGTTGAAGAATTTTTAAAATCTTATATTCCATTTTTTTATTTTCTATTAGTTATATATATATATATACAATGTTTTCCAAGTTTTTGTTTAAATTTAGTTCACCAAACCAAATCTCTGATTGTGAACTAATATACATAGGTGAAACGAGCCAAAATCTGACCTAATACAAAATAATTCTAAAAACAGTAAACATTTCAAAACCATGATAACTGAACACATTATGGATTTTTTTAACTATATAGAAACTGTATAACTACAATTCATAACCAAACTAAATAACAAAGCATCCCAGTGCAAAACAAATAAGTGGTTTTCAGATAATCCATTCAATAAATCCATTATTTATTTATCTTTGCAAATTGCAATTATGTAATTACTTCACAGTATGTTTTTTCCAATTTCTTCTGCTCGATGCAGAAATGTTATTGAGTGTTTTTTACCTACCATTGGTATAAATAAATGCGGTACAACACAATACCGCGAGCTTCAATGAATTAATCATTTTTTATTTGATTTGATGATGAATTCCATTTGCCCCTTTTTTCCCTTCGCGCACACCTCTGTCCCTTGAAGGGACTTGACTTGCATGACTGATAGTTCTTCTGTAGAAATAGTGTGAGGGCTGGTAACTAAGATTGAGGAGAAGTTTATGGTTTTAGTAGGAAATCCGACGGTGATTTTATGGTTTTTCCACGTTTTTTAGTCATTCGTAATAAGTTGAAATGAAATTGGGAAAAAGAATGTGTGTGTATGTGAGCCAATTGACATTTGTCGACGTTTTCTCAAAATGACTAAATGATTTCAAAAACTTGAAAACCATCGGATGTAACTCGATAAGCACTCAAATAGAGTTTATTAAGACTTTTGTTCAAAATTAGTATGATGTTTGTCCGCGATGTACACCTAAACTACTGAACCGATTTTAAATTTTATTGGCTCAACATTTGCATTATATCCAACTTAGGTTATAAGCCTATTAAGAATCTTATTTTTTATTCGCGATATTAAATATTAGCAAATTCAATTAATTTTGACAGATGAATTTTAAGAAAACTTGGTGAAATGACACTTGTCATTGTTTTGGCATAATGGGATAAATTGATTTGTGATTTATTATATATATATAAGTTTGTTTCAGGATGTTTGTCTTGAATAGACTCCTA